CAGAGCAGTGGCGTAGTCAAGGCAGCGGGTAGAGGCGAAGTCAGCGACCGCAGCAACAAGAGCGTCAAGACACGAGACCGGAATAGACGGGCCGGTAATGAGAGAGGCAAGGACCCGAGGAACGAGAGGACGGGCGGCACGAAGGTAGTCAGACAGAGGGGGGGGAGCAACGACAAGGGAGGACGGGGGAGAAGACGGGAGAAGGGGAGGACGAGACGCGTGGGAACGAAGAAACATAGGGTGAGAGCGCGTGACAGTGGAGACAGGACGAGCACGGGAGGGACGGCGAGACCAGACGTGAGACGGAGGAGTCGGGTCAGAAGACAGAGGAGGGGATATAAGGGGAGAGCGAGGGGGAAGACGAGCCGGGGACGAGTCCGGCGGAGGGAACATACGGCCGTAAACGGGAAGAGGAGGAGACGGGAGGAGAGGAACGGACGCAGGGTCAGGGGACGGAAGGCCGAGCAGGCGAAGGGCAGACACCGGCGGGGACTGCTGCTGCGGCGGCACAACGCCGACACCGAGACCGCAAGCTGCTCCTCGGGTACCACCGGCAGACTCCACTCCAGCACCCCCAGAAGGAACACTCCCAGGGCCCGAAACCCCTCGGGCACCGGCACCACCCCCAGGGCCACCGGGGCTAGGACCCACTCGAATGCCAGCACCCCTAGAGGCCACGAACGGTTGCTGCGACGGCGGCGGCAGCTGCGAGGACGACGTCGGTGACAGCAGAGGCGACGGCGGCTGCAGAGGCGGTGGGGGAGGAGACGCCTGAGGAGGGGCAGACGGCGAGGACTGCGCCGCAGGACCACCAGAGTCAGAAGTCCCCTCAACCGGGACAACCGACGGGAGAGGAGTGACGTGGGACACACCGGAGGGGGTAGGACGGGGAGGGGGAGGGGGGGGGGGGGCAGGGACCACCTGGGAAGGAGTGACCAGGAACAGGGGGGGGGTAACCGGGGGACCGCGGTGGGGGAAGCGACGGTAGAAGGAGACGGACTCGTCAAAGGTGACGTCGCGAGAGTGACGGCGGGTGGTAGAAGTGTCAGTCGGACGCGTCAACGGGAAAACCTAGGAAGACGCAGGGAAGGGTGCGGGCAGTGAGCTTGTCCGTGCCGGAGGCACGAACGTGAGCAAGGCAGCCCCAGACGTGGAACGCAGTCGCGTCACCAGGTGACCCGGTCCAAAGACGGGTTGGCGAAACCTGCGGCTGCTGGGGGTGCGGCCACAGGTTAAGCTGGTGAGAAGCGTAGCGCACGGCGAACGGCCACAGAAAATGGGGTGCACCGGCATGGATCATGGAGGTGCGAGCAACCTCCATTACCAAGCTGATGCGCCGCTTAGCGACCCCATTTTGCTGTGGGGAGTTCGGCAGGGTGAACGTCTGGATGATGCCCTCCGCACGACAGAATCGACCAAGGACACCTGAGGCAAACTCGCCAGCACGATCGGAGTGAAGGCGCAAGACATGGAGACCTCGGTGGACACGCGCAGAGACAAGCCAGGGGATGAGAGCGTCAGGCACGTCGGCCTTCCGCTCCAGGGGAAAGACTGTGGTGTAGCGAGTGAAGTCGTCGACAAGCACGAGGAAGTAGCGCTCTCGATGCGGCCCATGGACGGGGGCGGGGCCCCAGACGTCCATGTGCAGGGTGTGCAGCGGCGCGGTGGTAGGGGGAAACGAGGAGGAGTGAGGGGCACGGTGAAGCCGACCCTCGACGCAAGGCGTGCAAGGTGGGGCAGGGGAGGAGGGAAAAGCGGGGAGAGAACCAGGGAGACCAAGGACGAGACCGTTCTGGGACATGTGACGCAGACGCGGGAGCGCAGGGTGATCTAGGCGGTGGTGCCAAAGGAGAGTCGGGTGAGTGAGGGACCGACAGGAGCAGGCAGCAGCAACCTGGGTAGATGCAGCCACCTGAAGGGGCGCCCCAGCCGGGGGGGTCACGGTGTCAAGGGTGAACAGGCCGGACACCGGGTCCCGGGGGAACAGACAGCATACCGCTCATGACCAAGGAACGTAGTGGTGACGCCAAGGTCCTGGAGGCAGCCGACACCAACTAGGTTCTTGGAGAACGAGGGGATATGCAGACCTGTGAGAGAGCCCGAAGGAACCGCCGGACAGGGAAGGGTGGTGGAACTGCGGACGACTACCGGACCGCCGGAGGGGTCAGCAAGAGAAACGGCAGCAGGAACAGGAAGCGACGTCAGTGTAGTGAAGTCGCGGAAGAAGCACCGGGAAGCGCCAAAGTCCAAGGTGAAGGAAAGCGAAGCAGAGGCGTCCGGCGACGGGGCGACGGTGAAAGCACCAAGGCTAAACAAAGCAGGGGCTCCTACGCCTGACGCAGCAGGGGAGACTAAACTAGGCACACCTACACTGGACGACAAGGAGTAATAAGCGAGAAGCACACTAGAGTCATCAGCATACATCACATGTAGAACGGAAACAATGGCATCCATGTCCATGTCAAAAATCTGAATCCTACAACTAAGCAAACTGTGCCAGTCCGGGAGGTCTGGCGACGGGCCGAAGCGCTAACGAAACAGGTCGTCCAGGCGACGAAAACAGTGCAGGCAGCGCGCCAGGTCTCATCTATCGTGCGCAGGTGGGCAGCTAGGTCAGCGACAGTAGGGAAAGACGCAAGGTCAGGAAAGAGAATCGGAAGGATCAGACGACCCACCGAGGCAGCAGGAGGTGTGGAATAGCTCTTGATGACAGCATCTAAGAAAGCCTGGGCGGTAGTGATGGACCTAAAGCGAGGGCGCTCAGACGGGGAAAGGGCATTGCTAATGGCAAGTTGGGCGACAGCGTCTCGGGAAAGCCAAACAGAGCGCGCAAGAGCAGCGGCTGCAGTAGACTCGCGCTCAGCGGGTGTGGGGTCAGCGGACAGCTTAGTAAGGGGGTCTGGGCAGGGGAGCGTACCATCAAGGTGGGCGGAAAGGGGGTGGTCATCTTGCCGCTGGCCAGTGAGGTGGCGGCGGAGGTCGGCGAGCCATGCCTCGAACTCCAGAGGCCGGCCTTCAGCGTCGAAGCGAAGCTCCGCCGCCATCAGGAGCAGTGCAGGACTGTACTGGTCGGTACAGTGTGGTGCAGTGCGGTGCAGCGCGGTGGAGTGCGGTACAGGGCAGTGCAGTGTGGTGTAGTGCGGTACCGTGCGGTGCAGGGCGGTGCAGGTGAGGGGGAACCGTACCAGGAAGAGTGCAGGGCCGGAGCAGGGACGACGTGCGGGCCGCACACAGCTCGGGGCAGGACGTGCACGGGGTCGGCTGGGACGGGCGCGAGGTCGGCTGGGACGGGCGCAGGACCGGCTGGGACGGGCGCGGGGTCGACTGGGACGGGCGCGGGGCCGGCTGGGACGGGCGCGGAGTCGGCTGGGACGGGCGCGGGGCCGGCTGGGACGGGCGCAGGGGCCGAGCGTACGGGTGCAGAGGTCGCGAGGGCGGGCGCGGTGCCGGCTGGGACGGGCGCAGGGGCCGACGAGGACGAGCGGAGGGGCCGCTGGGGTAGCGCGGGGGCCGCTAGGGCGGGCGCTGGGGCGGGCACGGGGCTAGGGGGGCCGCTAGGGCGGAGCGCTAGGGCGGGCACGAAGGGCCGCTAGGGCGAGCGCGGGGGCCGCTAGGGTGAGCGCTAGGGCGGGCACGAGGGGCCGCGAGGGCGGGGCACTAGCGCGGGCACGGGGCCAGGGGGCCGCTAGGACGGGGCGCTAGGGCGGGCACGGGCGAGGGGCCGCTAGGGCGGGCGTGGGTGGGCGGGGACCTACCTACTGCTGATACCATCTTAAAAACTGAATGAATAATGAGGGAGAGAGAGTACAGGTGAATATATCTAAGTGTTGTACCCTCTAAGAGGTGACCCTATACAGTCTATGCAAACATAAGAGATACACATGTTTGACAACCTGGTCCCAACTTGAAAAACGAGTTGGGTTCTAGGGGAAGAAATCGCACATGCGATATCTTCTGTCATGCGAGCTGCTCATGTCGCGAGCGCGTCAGTAGGGTCGCACCGTACATTTCGCCAGGCTGTTAGTTGCGTCAGCCTGTCATAATCTTGCTCTTCGTTTAACTGTAATAGTCAGCCATGCTATACGACGGAATTCCAAAGGCAACTCTTCAAGTTGGGCCCACCTTTGCTATTATATTTTGGGGCTTTAATACTTTGACCCACGCTCTTTGCGCTTCATTACAACATCAAAATTTGTACGTGCACGCAGGTACCCCACCCGAAGCTGTGCTACAGTAGAACATTTGAATCTTCGAACAGCCGAACGGGCATCTGTGGGCGTGGACACTTGGTTTCGACTTGAGGTTCTGGAGCGGGGTCCGAACTGGGAAAAAAATTGCTGACAGGGAGATTCGCGAAAAACAGCTATCGGAAGCTTCACGACGTCCGTAACCACATTGGCTGTCGGAACCCAAACTGGACCAGGAGGGAACTCTGAACTGCGCTGTGATCAACCTCCGCCAAGAGCCTCCCAGTTGCAGGTTTGACTGGCGCTTTCCCTTCCCGCCTTTTGCCTTGAGCAGAAGATTCTTCACATTCCGCCTAGACCTGCGAGCGGTTCTCCCAACCTTCCCCCACTCCGCCTATTTTCGCTGCGCCGTCGCTTGACTCTGTTCGGTTCCGCCTTGCAGCAGCACCTCCTATTTTCTGCCACCGTCCGCCCGCGCGCTCACACACACTCTTCCCTGCCCCGCCGTTTCCTCCCCATGCGAGCCCCTTCCTCCGCAACCCACCCTGCCATGACTCGTTCCTCCGCCACCCTTTCCCCGCGCACCCGACCCAACCCCACTCCACGTTGGTCGTCCTTAGGACGTGGAAGAATGCGTCCGGTTCGTAAGAACGTTTTCCGAACGTCGATAGTACCGTGTCTTAACACATTGCATCTATTTGCACCGTACTAGAATCTTTTTGAAACCCTTCAAAATGTTCCGGATGCGGATCGATTTGGGCAATTCGGACGCAATTTACCACGTCCTAACAGATCACATATGCTTCAGTAAGGTGGTTCATAGAGTTTTAGTGCACCATACGTAGTAGACGTGTTGCGTAGGGCATTCACCCGGATCTTCCCAGTCGCCTAGAATCACCTGTTGGCATCCTCTTAGGTCTCGTAGAGCCGCCGTTGGTTGGAGTTTGCAGGTAGAGGAATTTTAGGTAAGCTCCCTAACCGGCTTCTCCGTCTATGTCGTTTTCAGTTGCGTCTTACTTCGTTGCCTGATCAACCCAGTCGTTCGCTTTATTTTTTTCTAAGCCGTCCCTTAATATCCCCCCTCTCCTTTTTATCACGCGTCTCGTCGTCTCTCTCCGTTTTCAGATCGCGTCACGTCTCGCGTCGCGCGTATACCCCGAACTCAATCGCTCCCGTCCATATCTCGCTTCAAGCGTCCTTCTCCTCACCTCTGCCGTGTCCGCCGGTGCCCTCAATCATCGCCATCCGCCTTCGCTAATCCCCGTCTCAAGCGCCGCGCCTGAAGCCACGTCAGCGACGTCAGCCAGCAAACCCTATCCACGTCACCATGCCTGACGAACCCGGGTCTCCCGAGAGCAATCCTGAGGATATCGAGGGGGGAACGTCGGGGCATGGCGGCGGCGAGGGGGGCTCGTCGTCCGTTCGGGAGCAGGACCGCTTTCTGCCTATCGCGAACATCAGTCGGATTATGAAGAAAGCGCTGCCGCAGAACGCCAAGATCGCTAAGGACGCCAAGGAGACGGTTCAGGAGTGCGTCTCCGAGTTTATCAGTTTCATTACCAGCGAGTACGTCCTCCTCGCTTGGGAAGTGGCCCTTTTTTCTCTCTCTCGCTCTCATGCCTGTTGCTCGGTCCCCCCCTCCTTTTCCCCTCCCCCCACCCCCCCCCCCCCCCTCCTTCTCCCCCGTTCCCCTCTTCCTGTGTCTTTCTGTTTGCTTTATTCCTGTTCGGGAGTGCGTCTCCGACATTATTAGCGTCATTACCAGCGGATACGTCTGTCCTCCGTTGCCGGATCTCCTTCTCGTGGCCTTTGTTCGTTCTTTACTTCCTTTCGTTTTTTCTTTCTCCCTTTCTTCTCGTGCTTTTCTATCCGTTTCCGTCGTTTTGTCGTCTCTCTTGCTTACGCCGTACCCTTTTTCTCTCTCCCCCCACCCTTCCCCCCCTCCCCGCCCCTTTTCCTCTTCCCCCTCGTACGCCCGCTCCTCTCGTCCTTCTCTGTCGTTTTGCGCGCTGTTGTTTTCCGTTCTTCCTTTTTCCGTGTGGTTCGTTTCCTTTCCTCAGGGCGAGCGACAAGTGCCAGCGCGAGAAGCGCAAGACGATCAACGGCGACGATCTGCTGTGGGCAATGAGCACGCTGGGATTCGAGGACTATGTGGAGCCGCTCAAAGTGTACCTGCACAGATACCGCGAGGTGCGTAAAGGCTGCTCAGATACCGCGAGGTGCGCTGCTGCTATTTTTGTTGACTTAGGAGAGGGCAAGAGGAGAGGAAGTTGGAGGGAACGCGCTAGGGAGGGCGGGTGGGAGTGAGGAGAGAGCGCGAGGGGAGTGTGGGAGGGGAGTGGGGGGGGGGGGAGAGGGGGGCGGAAGGGTGGAAGGGGTATGGTGGACTTAGAGGGGGGGTGCGGTTGGTTGGAAGGGCGAGCAGGGAACGAGAGGCAGAAGTGGGGAAGGTTGGAGAGTGGGGGAATGGGAGGCAGGGGCTGTGGGGCTAAGGCGATTCTTCGTTCGTTCTTGCAATTCCCGGACCCTGTTCTTCCCGGACCCTGTTCCTTCTTTACCCCTGCTGCTCCCTCTCCTTTTCTCCCTTCCCTCCTTCCGCCGTCCCTCTCACTTCCCCGCACTCCCTCACACCCCCCCGCTCTCGTTGCCCCCATCTCCCCCGTGTCCATCACCTGACTATTTTTTATGCCGGGGCGCGTTTCTGGAGTGCTCCGGAGGCGTGCTTGCTTCGATACTAGCTGATCTTTTAACGAGTTGACTCTTTGGACGTTTTCTCACCCACTCCCATTCGGTCCTCATACTTGTGTCTTCCCTTTCCTTCTTTTTCCCCCTCCTCCCCTCTCTTCCTCTCTGTCTCTGCGCCTCTCGTCCTTGTCCAACTTCCTCCTCTCGCCCCAACTTCCTCCCATCTCCCCCTTCGTTTCCACCCCCTCTCATCTCACCTCCTCCCTTCCTCTCTCTCCCCTTCGTTTCCTCTTCCTCCCCCTCTCTCCCTCTCTCCCCCCGTCCGTCTCCTCCGCTCTCCCTCGTCCTCTCCATATGTTCCTTGGGTGCACCCCATCAATCGACGACTCGCCGTGGTGGCTGGTGGCTGCATCCTCTCCATGTTGTGGCGTTCGTCTGTACCAAATGCCTCCCTCCATCTCTTCACCGCATGCTCGTCCTGCCATGCGTCGTCTGCTGCAACCTACCTCACACAGACTGAGGTGCGCTCCTGCTCCGCCCGTCCCGCCTTCCCTCCCTAATCTCCTCATCCCCTTCCCCTTCAACCCTGCCCCCGCCCTCCCCCACCATACACCAGAAAAAGCAGTCCCCCATATTCCCCTTTCTCTCCTCCTCTCCCCCCCCCCCCACCCCGCCCCCCCCCCCCCAGTCTCTCTCTCCCCCTGTCCTCCTCCGCCTCTCCTACTCTCTCTTCCCCCGTGCCTGCCTGTGCTCCTGCGGTTCTGCTCCCTTGGTCTTTTCCAAAGCCAGTCGTTTTTTTCCTCATCCGCGCTTCAGCCTCGCGTTTTCTCGTTGTTGCATCTGTTGCCTTATTGCACTCTGCTCGTGCTCTGCTGCTGCGTCGTCCCCTTTGGCTTCTGTTCATCCGCATTTACTCAAGAAGACGCATCTCTTCCTGTTGACTCGTTTGCGAATGTGGGTGTGGGTGTTGGTGTGGGTGTGTGTGCATGTGTGCGTGCGTGTGCACATTGTGTGTGTTTTCGCTGGTCTGCTCCGCTCTGGTGATGATGGCACCAAGCAGGGCGAAGGGGCCACCAAGGACGGCAAGCCGCAGCCCTCTCCAGGAGGGTCAGCGCAGCAGCCATCGCTCCCCTCGTCTCTCCCGCAGTCCAACGCCCAGGTAAATCCCCACGCCTGAATCGGTCAGCTCTGACACTGTTTTGAAGTTCCGTTTTGCTTCAGCTACCCGCTTGCTACCCCTGGGTTTCGACTTCCCGCTGAATCCAACAGTTTCACAACAAACCCAGCAATGCTCAACATTCCCCTTACCCTCTCCGAATTTCTCGCCCTCCGTCCTCCCTCCCGCCTCTCCCTTCCTCCGCCCTTCTTTCTCTCTCTCTCTCCCACCCAGCAGATGCCATCGTCGTCAGCGTACCCATCAGGAGCCGCCGTGCCGTACATGCAGCCCCAGGTGCGCTTAACTATGACCTGGGGGAGAGAAAGTGCGTGAAGGAGGAAGGGGAGGGTAGGGGGATGGGAGGGGATGGCGGGGATGTTGTGGATGGATGGAAGGGATGGGGGGGGGTGGGGAGGAAAGGGCGTGAGAGCGAGGGGTGTGCGGAGGAGGGGTTGTGGACAGGGTTTGGGGGGGCAGGAATGGGCAAGGGAGGGGGCTGATGGGGGGCTATGGGGAAGGAGTGTATGTGTGTAGGGTTTGTCAGGTATTGTAACTCTACATGGTTTTTATCAGCAGCCTCTAGTCGTTTTGAGTTGAGGGAAGCCATACACACACACTCACAGCAGCCAGCTCTTCCCAATCCCTTCCATTTGCCCTCTTTCCCCCTCCATTTCCTCTCTTTTTTTCCATTTGCCCTCTTTTCATTTCCCTCCCATATTTTCCCCCCACCTCCAGATGATGCCTCCCGGTGGTTACCAGGTATGCCCTGCCTATTTCCTCGCTCCTTTTGTTTGTTGGGTTTTATATGCCTACATGGTTCTTTTCTTGCCCTTTTCCCCCTTCATCCCCCCCCTCTTTGTCGGAGCAGTCAGTTCTGTTCATCTACCATCTTTGCTTTGCCTTCTCCTGGCCACCTGTTACTGCCAATGCTGCAGATCCCCTCACGTTTTGTCTGCTCTTTGTTCCTGTTCCTGCCCGCCCTTCTCCCCTTTCCGCTCCCCCCTCTCCCCCCCCCCCTCTCCACTGCTGTGCGACCCACCTGGACACCAGATGTAGCATGCTTCGATAACGATCCAAGCCCTGCACACTACCCTCGTTTCTCCCTCTCCCCCATGCCCTCGCTCTCCTCCCCCACCCCTCCCTCCTCTCCCTCCATTCCCTCCCCTCTTAATCGTCCCACGTCCTCCTTCATTACCTCTCCGTGCTCTCCTCCTTCACTCCCGCCGCTCCTTCCTCTCCCTCCTCTCCCCCTCGCCCTCCTCCCCCTCCTCCCCTTCCTCTCGCCTTCCACCCGGGGTGCATGCATGGCCATCAGCAGTTTTTGCAGCAGCCTTAAACCTGCACTTACTGCACTGCACTGCACTGCTCTGCTGTTACAAACGAGCCATCTGCTGCACATCTTACACCGCCTTACGCCAATTTTCGTTCAGTGCCCCTGGAGTTCTAAATTACTGTTATGGCACCCTAATTCGCACCAGTTACGGATCTTCAAGCGCGGTATTTTGTCAAAAAGGCATCCGTCCTCTGTAGTGCTGCATCTTCTCCTTAACCCAGGTCTGCAATATTGGTGCCTTGCCTGCCTCCTTTGTATGGGTTCCCTGAATAGTTGCACAGCTTACTAGTGTTGGTCCCCCCTCTGCAGTTCAAGGTCTTTTGGCTAACCACCTTACCATACATAGTGTTGGGCTGAGAAAAGCCCTTAGGATCTTTTGCAGAGACTAAGTCCCAGCTTGTAGAAACTTGAGACTTGGAGTAGTGCAGCGGAAGTTGAGGCAGTTGAACCCTTGTACTAGTATGTGAGAACAAGTGATTGATTAAAGAAACAAGCATACAGCAATATATAGAAGATAAGGAAGCAGTTGTAGAATACAGTTACAGGAACGGTTTATCGAGTCGCACAGCGACTCGATTGCCGCTTCGGTTACCATCCGTGATGTTGTAACGGTCAGTCGCAACCTCCAGTTGCGACCTTTCGAGTCCTTTCGCATTCTTTGTCCGCCCCCTCGTGTAACCTCCGTTGACTCGCGTGCTCCCCTGTAATCTTCCTCGAGTACAGTGTTACACTTCAGAAACGCTTAAGTCCTTGAGATATTTCCAACACTCCCCTTCGTTTCTGGAGTGCTGGAGTGTTCAGATCCGGTGACGTTTGTTTGCCCGGTTAGGAGCATGCAGTAGTCGAATTTTGCTTTCGCCAATTTCTTCGTCAGATAATCTGCGGCCATTTCTGTCGTCGGGCAGTAACTGAGTTGAAGTCTCCCCTTCGCGATTTCATCCTTGACGAAGAAGTACCGCAGGGCGATGTGCTTGGTTCGGTTGGCGAAGCCGTCCTTGTTCGCGATTTTTATCGCAGATTGGTTGTCGCAGAGGAGTGAGAAGGTGGGCAGGGTCGCGATCTTCGCTTCTTCGAGTAACTCTCGTAGGTAGAGTCCTTCCTTGGTCGCAGTACAAAGGGCGATATACTCTGCTTCAGCCGAGGATAGTGCGATTAACTCCTGCTTGCTCGACTGCCAGGAGATAGTTCCGATAGGTTCTAGTCGGTAGATGTAGCCCGTCCTAGACCGTCGATTTTCGCTGTCTCCCGCGTGGTCGGCGTCGACGTATCCGAGTAGTCGTACGGACGGTGTTGTTGCCTTGCTGTAGGTGAGCCCGATCGTCGGCGTGGAGACGAAGTAGAGTAGCGCTCGATTGAGTTCTTCGAGATCTTCCTGTTGCGGCTGCTTCAGATGTGTCGCCAGCTGGCTCGCACTATAGGATAGGTCGGGTCGGCAGGTTACTGTTGCGAATAGTAGACAGCCGAGCTTCTGTTGATACTCCTGGATTTGTTTCGCGGGGAGTTTTGTGGAGGCGCTACTGTTGTTCCCGTAGCGGTAGGGAGTTGGGACCGCAGTCGGTGTTAGACCGAATTTCTTCGCGACGGTGCTTGAGTACTTTCCAGCGTGTAGGTAGAACGCCGTGTCGTCTTCGACGACGTTCAGTCCTAGGTACTGCGTCACCTCGTCGGACACCGTGAGCGTCAGGTCCCTTTTCAGCTCCCCTTCGAACCAGGTGACGATGTCGGTGGTAGAACCGATGTAGAGCAGGTCGTCGACGTAGACGATGAGCAGAATGTAATCTCTTCCCTTCTGTAGTCGGTACATGCCTTGGTCATGTGGTAGCTGTAGGAATCCGATTTTTACGAGCCGGCCGTGAAGGTGCTGCTGCCAGAGCCGTGGGGCTTGCTTGATCCCGTAAAGGGATTTTTCCAGCTGGCATACTTTTGAAGGGTCGTCGATGAATCCGTGGGGTTGTTCGACGAAGATTTCGGCGTCCACAGGTGCGTACAAGAAGGCGTTTGCAACGTCGATTTGCCGTAGTGGTAGTTTCTTCGTGGCCGCGATGGCGAGTAGGATGCGCAGAGAGGTGTGACGGGAGACTGGAGCGAAGGTTTCTGTGTAGTCGGTTCCGTATCGTTGATCGAAGCCTCGTACGACCCATCGAGCTTTGAATCGTTCGATGGAGCCGTCTGAGTTGGTCTTGATGCGGTACACCCATTTCCCCGAGAGAATGTTCTTCCCGTTGATGCTCGTTGCAGGTACCAGTTTCCATGTTTCTCGGTCTTGCAGAGCTTTTAACTCTTTTTCCATCGCTTCCTTCCATTGTGCCTTATGTTCCCCCCCCAGAGCCTGCGACAGGGTCGACGGCTCGCGCGGAGAAGGCGGCGGCGGGTGCTGGACGGAGACCCATAGTCCTAGGATCTGCAGTCCCGTGGCTGTGTGTCGAGGGGAGTTTTCATTCTCGGGATAAGCTGCTTCATCACCGTCTTCAGGATCGGGTAAGAAGTTTGGCCCGATGCGTTCGGAAATATTCGAGTCGACGGGGTGTGGTGTAGCGTAGCCTTGGTCAGCGAAGTGGTAAAAGGTGTCGAGGTTGTTGCTATCGAGAGGATTATCTTCATCGAGTGGAACAGGTACGGAGCAGTAGGGGAGTGGTCCGGCAGCCTCCGAGGCTCCAGGGACGTCTTCTTCTGCTGCGTCAGCCTCGGCAGCATGGTCAGCGAAGGAGCGAAGGCCCGCGAAGCCGTCGGTGGGGTCGTCTGAGTTGGCAATGTTGTCCAGGTAATGCTGCAGCGTCAGTCGCTCGTAGAAGATAACATCACGTGATGCCACCGTATTTTTGTCGTGTATGTCGAGAATCTTCCACGCGTGAAAATGTTTGGCGATGCCGAGGTGTAGTCCCCACCGAGCTCGTTGAGTGAAGCGTCCTGCTCGAGCTGTGTGGGGTCTGTATTGTACCATGCAGCCGAAAACTCGAAGTAATTTTGTGCTGCCCCTTTTTCCCGTCCACAGCAGGTGCGGTGATGCGTTGTTGGGGAGCGATGACGAGGACAACAGGTTGTGCAGGTGGACTGCATGTGTCATCGCGTCTGGCCACAGTGTATTGGGCAGCCTCATCCCCAGAAGCAGTTTTCGCATCGTCGTCTGCAAGGTCCGGTTCATGCGTTCTGCTACCCCCTGCTGCTGGTGAGCATAGGGCAGAGACACCAGGCGTCGGATTCCCCTTTCCGCGAGATAGGTCCTGAAGCGTTGTGACTGGTATTCCAGTGCACCGTCTGACTGGAAACTCTTGAGTTTGGTTCCTGACTCTCGTTCGGCGATTGGAAGCCATGTGGTGAAGGCCTCGAAGGCTTGATCGCGCGTTTTGAGATTGAAGTGCCAGACGTATCTGGTTGCGGCGTCGATGAACGTGATGACGTAGTTGAAGTCGGCTTCGGTGTCGTCTCGAGGCATGTTTAGAATATCGCTGTAGACCTTTTCCATCGGAGCGTAAGTGGGTGCGCTTGGATTGTGATGGGCTGGGAAAGGTTGATGAGGAAGATCTGCTTCGGGGCACGTGAAGCATCGTGCTCTTGGTCGGCGAAGTTCTTGGCCGCTCGTCGTTAGAAGGGCGTTACGTTCTAACACCTCTGCTTGTATTGTTTGTAGTATCGTGCTGTTTGCAGGATGTCCGAGACGTTGGTGCCAGATGTCGTCGGGAGCGCGGTGACCGGGCGAGCGGTGGTAGATGTCGGCGTTGGAGAAGAACGCGACGACCGAGGCGGGACTTCGACAAGCTTCTCGTGTGGCGGGCATAAGTTGGTCTGCTTCCGTTGGCGGTCCTCGTGTTGATGGTGGTGGTACTCGGCTGGGTCCTGCTGCCGATACTGCAGGTGATGGTTTTGTTGGGACACTTGCGGGTACTTGTCTTTCTTGTCTGATAACTGCTAATGCTCGTGTTCTCTCTGCTGCAGGTATGGTGTTGGAGTGCCAGAAGCCGTCACTGTCGAAGTCGGGATCAAGATCCGGCGGGTGAGTCCAGGCGGCGAACGATACGATACCGTCGCTGTCGGCAGTACCGCGGTCGGGGACGAAGTCCAACACGAAGACGCCGGACTTCAAGAGGGCACGACCGATGAAGAGGCCGCCCTTCCCGTGGTAAAGCCGGAACTCGTTGGAGTAAGAGTCGCACTCCAGGTGAATCCCTTTGGCCATTAGTTGGCTTACGCTCAGTAGATTGTATCCCAGGTTGTCGACAATGAGCACTTTGTTGAGCTGCAGTATTACGTTTGTTTCCATGGATTGTAGCTGAACCACGCCTTGTCTGTTTGTCTTCAGGTTTTCGTTGTTGGCGACTGTGATGACGACGTCGCGGTTGAGTCGTTTCTCCTGTTGCACGAAGCGTCCGGAGGAGCACATGTGCTGACCGCAGCAACTGTCCAAGAACCAGGTGTTCCGCCCGGTGGGTTCGGCGTTAGCGACTGCAGCGTATGTCGGGTTGACCTGAAGTCCTTGCGAGCGCGGCGGCGGGAATTCCTCTTCGTCTGGTGCGTAAGTGGGTGGTGAAGCGGGTGCGCAGTTGTCGATGTGTACCATGCAGTTGATGATGTTGGGTGTTTGTTGTGCAGATGTTGAAGAACGCCTTGGAGGACTTGCTTGAGTGGAAGCGACTTGTGGGTCTGCTGCACGGTAAACGCGAGGGCGGTTGCAGTTGACCTTGGAGTGCCCGGAAGTCTGACAGTTGTGGCAGAACGGCGGCACGATGGTGAGTCCTCGGTTGTCGCGTTGATCTTGCTTGCTGCGTCGGTTGTAGTTGTTGTCATTTCTTCTTTGAGTGTAGAAGACTAACTGCTGTTGCTTCCTTGGTTGTCTTTCCTCGAACAGATCCATCTCCTGTTGTTCAGCGTGAAGCTCGGCGCAGAGGTGCATCTCCGAAATTCTTCCGTGGGCTCGAAGAAGTGATCGTGTGGTTCTCCATTCTGGCCCGAGCCCGGCGAGGACAAGTGTCACGAAGCTTTCTTCAGTGATCGTTCCTCCGCACCGAAGCAGGCGGTCGCGGAGGGTCTGGCAGCGACTCATATACTGCATCGCCTTTTCCCCGGTCTTCATTTGTATTGTTGTCAGCTGTTGCATGAGTCTGCTTTGTGTCACGCTGTCGTTTGCTTGGTAAAGGCACTTGAGGTGGTGCCATGCGAGCTCCGCGGAGTTTCCATAACTCCGGTACGTTCTGATGCTCTGCTGCTCTTGTGGTGACAGGTTTCTCAGGAGTACCGTGTACGCCAGCAGCGACTGATATGTGAAGATCTCTTGTTCCTTCCCAGTGCCGTTGCTTGGGAATGGCAGGGACCCGTTGAAGTATCCCAGAAGATGCGCGGCCTCCATCAGCAGCTCGAACTCGAAGCTCCAGGTAAACAAGTCGTGTCCGTTGAACGGTGAGGATGTCTGAAGTTTGATCACGTGTGAGAACTGCGCCTGTAAACTTAAGATTTCATTCGGTGTTTGTTGTGATGCAGCTGCTGTTGGCTGGGCACGGGGCGGCATGAATTCGAACGTCCCCGGCGAAGAATGATAAGGCGCAAAGGTAGGCGCTTGGTTGTGTCGCCCGAAGGATGAGTTGTCGAGGCTCATCGGCGCTAATCCCATATTCCCTCCATTGCTCTGTGTTGAGTGCGCAGGTGTCCTTGTCTGCTGCAGCTGGTCGAAGTGTGACATGAAGCTGAAGAATCTCTCCATGAGATTCGGGTCCACACTTGAAGAGGGAGACGGAGTCACCATCTCTGGTACTCTTCCCGTTGTTTCTTGAGCAGTCCCGGTCTCTGTCTGCAGTCCTGAGGTGTGCAGACCAGAGTTGCCGTGTTGAGTTTCTTGGGCGCTGGGTGAGCCCGTAGAGACTTTCTTGCCCTTGTTGTCCATGTCTTGCAATCAATGAAGTCGTTGAATTGAGTTGAGTTGCAGGCTGTTGATAGAACGTAGTTGCTGGGAGTTTGGTCTCTGACCAGCTCTCATACCATGTTGGGCTGAGAAAAGCCCTTAGGATCTTTTGCAGAGACTAAGTCCCAGCTTGTAGAAACTTGAGACTTGGAGTAGTGCAGCGGAAGTTGAGGCAGTTGAACCCTTGTACTAGTATGTGAGAACAAGTGATTGATTAAAGAAACAAGCATACAGCAATATATAGAAGATAAGGAAGCAGTTGTAGAATACAGTTACAGGAACGGTTTATCGAGTCGCACAGCGACTCGATTGCCGCTTCGGTTACCATCCGTGATGTTGTAACGGTCAGTCGCAACCTCCAGTTGCGACCTTTCGAGTCCTTTCGCATTCTTTGTCCGCCCCCTCGTGTAACCTCCGTTGACTCGCGTGCTCCCCTGTAATCTTCCTCGAGTACAGTGTTACACTTCAGAAACGCTTAAGTCCTTGAGATATTTCCAACACATAGTACATGTACTGAAGCCTTAAACATTGGTGATGTGTCACTACTTGCACCATCACTTACCTACATGATGTCAAACATATTTGTGAGAAATGTTAAGTACCGTAATCCCCCGTATATAAGACCCGCCGAAATAGTCAGCCCACGGGTGGCTTATGCGGGGGATAGCTTATGATATGACGCATTTTTGAGAGTACCCGCTTTTTTGGGTTTGCATTTTACATAACACCCTGCACGTTTTTCTTGGCTTTAAATAGTATTCTGTCCTTCATTACCAAGGTTCGCTCAGCTGCAAAAATACGAACACGATTAAAATCGCGTCAGCTGCCATTCGCAGCGCAAAGACGGGCAGAAGAATCAGTACAAGTGGCAACATGAAATCGAAAGACAAAAAGTGTCGAGAGGATCTCGACCGTCCATCTTGCTGTTGAACCATTTCGATCGCGTCAGCAATGGTCGTGACTCTATTCACAGCACTCTTACGAGATTGGTCAATGACACCTGGCACTGCTGCATGCAGCATCAATCTCCCACCGTTTTCAAATGCACCAAACTGACCCTGTCAGAGTACGCAATCTCTGTAGCAGATTCCTCGTTAGCAGATGCTCGGTGAAGTTTTTGTTAAAATTATATAAGTTATAATTTATATAGGCTTGGTAGGTTGTTACTGAACCTTTCTGTAGGGGGTACAAACCCCTCCTTGTACTCCCCTCTCTTCTAATCCAACATCTTTTCTCTCCTCAACTTTCCTAGCACCTAAAACCTCTCGCCATTCTCATGGCTCCTCCTAGCTCCTAGCTAAACCTTGTGCCATTCTATGGCTTCCTAGCTAAGCTAGTTTCTGACATGGTATCAGAGCAGTTCGTTCCGTGTGGGCCTGCTCCTCGCGTTTCCGCTGCGTGCTCGTTTCTCTCTCTATCTCGCGCTGCCATGGCGGCCGCGTCAAGCTGCTGTGGCCGCGTCGTCGTGCCGCGGCGCCGCTGTCGACGTCCATGGCGCCCGCGTCCAGCTGCTGTGGCCGCGCCGTCGTGCCGCAGCTCCGCCGTCGCGTCAAGTTGCTGTCGCGACGTGACGGCGCCGTCACGCTGCCGCGGCGTCTACGCGACAGCGCGCAGTCGGCGTACCAGCGACGTCGTGCTGCCGTCGCAGCGTCGACGCCCCGCTGCGGCATCGACGCCGCTCCATGACGGCGTCGTCGGGCTGCAGCCGGCCGCGTGACGCTTGTGGCGCCGCTAGACCGGCCGCCCGCATGTCAGCCTGTGGCGCCGCCCCCCCCCCCCCACCCCCCCTCCTTCCCCTGCGCCCTCTTCCATTCCGCAGACGACGGCTGACTCCCGCCGGCCGTCCCACAGTCGCGGGGCCAGGCCACGTCACCGAGAGGTGCGGGTGCCGCCGCCGCTGCCGCTGTTGTCGAAGCCGCCGCCGCCGCCGCTGTCGCCGCTTGCGTCGGGGCCACGCAGCCGCACGCCGCCGCCGCCGCCGCTGTCGACACTGCCGCCGCTGCCGCCGTCGCCGCCGCAGCCCCTGCGGTTGACGTCGCCGCCTCACGCGCCGTGGGGTCGACCGACCTAGAGTCGCTGTCACTGTGGCTGGAATGGGGGTGCTAGGTTAGGGGGTGTGGGTGTGTGTGGGTGTGTGACTACCAAGCCTAGGGGGTGTGTTAAAATTATATAAGTTATAATTTATATAGGCTTGGTAGGTTGTTACTGAACCTTTCTGTAGGGGGTACAAACCCCTCCTTGTACTCCCCTCTCTTCTAATCCAACATCTTTTCTCTCCTCAACTTTCCTAGCACCTAAAACCTCTCGCCATTCTCATGGCTCCTCCTAGCTCCTAGCTAAACCTTGTGCCATTCTATGGCTTCCTAGCTAAGCTAGTTTCTGACAGTTTTGGCCTCATAGTGCGTGTTACAACCCAAATTCATTTTGCATTTTACATAAGATATGGGTGTTTTATTTTTCCAGCCTACTGTTAACACCCATACGTGTTTTTTATGAAATTTTGACAATACCCTAGGGTGTTATATACGGGGGAATACGGTATGATTTTACCACAACACTCCCCTTCATTTTGGAAGTCCGATAGTGTCACTTCTTGATAATTCCGTAGAGTTCGTTGCAGTATTGGAAACTTTGACGTGTCAGCTTCTTGGTAAGAAAATCTGCAGCCATTTCATTGGTCGAACAGTAGACCAATCGCATTTTCCCCTTCTCGACTTCATCTTTGACGAAGAAGTACCGCAGCGAAACCAGGTTGATGTGCAATTCTGATTGCACTTTGGTTGTCACACTGTAGGGTGAACTTGTCAAACATGTTTATCTACAATGTTTGTATAGACTGTATAGGGTCATCTTTTAGAGAGTACAACCCTTAGATATATGTCCTTGTACAATTCTTTCTAGTAAATTATTATTCAGTTTTCCTTTGAGATGGTATCACCCGTAGGTTGGTTCCCCTCCACCTACCGCTTCCGCCCGTGCCTCCTAGGCCCCGCCACCCCCCCCGTTCCTCCTAGGCCTCATCGCACCCCCCTGGGCCCCACCGCGCTGCCTAGGCCCCGTCGCGCCCCCCTGGGCCCCATCGCGCTGCCTAGGCCCCGTCGCGCCCCCCCTGGGCCCCATCGCGCTGCCTAGGCCCCGTCGCGCCCCTCCTGGGCCCCTTCGTGCCGCGTAGGCCCCGTCGCGCCCCCCTGGGCCCCATCGCGCTGCCTAGGCCCCGTCGCGCCCCCCTGGGCCCCATCGCGCTGCCTAGGCCCCATCGCGCCCCCCCTGGGCCCCATCGCGCTGCCTAGGCCCCGTCGCGCCCCTCCTGGGCCCCTTCGTGCCCCGTAGGCCCCGTCGCGCCCCCCTGGGCCCCATCGTGCCTCCTAGGCCTCGTCGCGCCCCCCTGGGCTCCATCGCGCCTCCTAGGCCCCGTCGCGCCCCCCTGGGCCCCATCGCGCTGCCTAGGCCCCGTCGCGCCCCTCCTGGGCCCCCTTCGTGCCCCGTAGGTCCCGTCGCGCCCCCCTGGGCCCCATTGTGCCTCCTAGACCCCGTCGCGTCCCACTGGGCCCCATCGCGCTGCCTGGGCCCCGTCGCGCCCCTCCTGGGCTCCTGTAGCGCTTCCTCGCCCGTCGCGCCCCCCCCTAGGCCCCTGCAGCGCCTTCTAGCCCGTCACGCCCCTCCTGGGCCCCTCGTGCCTCCTCGACGCCGTCGCACCTGCCTGGCCCCGTTGTGCCTGCCTGGCCCCGTCGAGCCTGCCTGGCCCTCGCTGCGCTGCCTGGCCCCGCCGCGCCTGCCTAGCCCTGTCGCGCCTGCCTGGCCCTGCCGTGTCTCCTGGCCCCGTCGCGCCTGCCTGGCACTGCCGCACCTGCCTGGCCCCGCCGCGCTACCTGGCACTGCCGCGCCTGCCTGGCCCCGTCGCGCCTGTCTGGCTCCGTCGCGCCTGCCTGGCCCCGCCGCGTCTCCTGGCCCCGCCGCGCTGCCTGGCCCCGTCGAGCCTGCCTGGCCCTGCCGCGTCTGCCTGGCACTGCCGCGCCTGCCTGGCCCCGTTGCGCCTGCCTGGCCCCGTCGCGCCTGCCTGGCCCCGCCGCGTCTCCTGGCCCCGCCGCGCTGCCTGGCCCCGTCGCGCCTGCCTGGCCCCGTCTCGTCTCCTGGCCCCGCCGCGCTGCCGGGCCCCGTCGCGCCTGCCTGGCCCTGCCGCGCCTCCTGGCCCCGCCGCCCCTGCCTGGCCTCGCCGCGCCTGCCCAGCCCTGCCGCACCTCCTGGCTCTGCCGCACCTCCCGTGCCTCACCCGCCGTGCCTGACCGGCCGGCGCCTCTTCGTACCTGCTCACACGTGCTGGGGCGCCGTTTTGCGGCCGTCGTGTTGGAGGGCGCTGCCGTCCTGTTCCTGCGGAGCTGTGCCGCTGACCCTGCACGATGGCTGACTTCGTGCTCCGACTGGACGCCGAGGGCCATGCGGTTGACTTCGCCGCCTAGCTCTCTGACCTCCGCCGCCACCTTACAGGTCAGCGTCAGGATGGCCACTCTTTGGTTGTCCATGTCGATGGTTTGCTCCCCCGCCCCCCTGCGCCCGTTCCCCTCCCTGCTGACCCCTCCTCTGATGCCCGTGAGACCTTCTCTACTGCTGCACTTGCCTGTGCTGACTGGGACTCCCGCGATGCGGTCGCTCAGGTTGCTATTAGCCACGCCCTCCCTGTGTCTGAACGCTCACGTTTTGCTACCATTGCGACGGCCAAAGCCTACTTAGACGCAGTCATTGCCCGCTATTCCACACCCGCGTCTGCCTCTGCTGGCCGCTTACTTTTCCCGATGCTCTTCCCAGACCTTGCAGCCTTCCCTACCGTCGCAGACTTTGCCACTCACCTGCGTGCCCTAGAGACCCGCTATCGCACTGCCAGCACTGCTGCACAGCTCACTGCGCTCCCCCCTCCTTTCTGCATGACGCTCTATTTCATCGCCATGCGCCTGCCGGACCGCCTCGCTAGTGCCCGCGATCACTTCCTTAGCCAGCACCCGGCTGACCTCACCCTCACTGCCTTTGTCGACACCCTCACCGAGATCGAGACTCGCCAGCGCACTATCGCTCAGTCGAGCGGTGCGCCGGCAGTCTCTATCTTTCACGGCTGTGCCCCCTCCCAGTGCACGTTCACTGACGTTTCGGCTGCGGTCGCCACGGTGCCCCCTCCCACCGAGACGGCTGCTGCGGTCCACCCGCAGCAGCGCTCGCGCCGCAGTGGCAGTGGTCGCCAGGGAGGTCGGGGTGGTGGCGCAGGTGGTGGTGGTGGTGTTAGTGGTAGTGACGGTAGTCCGCCTGCTGGGACTACCACTGGTCGGCAGGAGCAGCAGCCCCCGCCGCAGCAGGAGCAGCCCGAGGCGCCGCCGCCGTCCCAGCAGCAGCCGTCGCCCCAGCAGCAGCCGTCGCCCCAGCAGCAGCCGCCGCAGCAGTGGGCTGGTCTCCCGCCTGGTTGGCCTGGCACCGGCGGAGGTGGTGGCCGTGGTGGCGGCCTGCAGAGCTCGGCGTCTACCAGCGGCTCCGGTGCTGTGACCTGCCAGTACTAGCTTCAGACCGGGCCTCTTCGCGGCACTCTGTGTCGCCGCCCGCACCCGACTGCCCGCTGTTTTCGCCGCCTTGACGATCTTTTTTGTCGTCGCTTTGGCCCGGCCCCGGACCTCCCTGACTGGCACAGCCTGCTCCGCCAGGGCGTGCCGATCTTTGAGTTAGACATGGATCAGATAGGTGCTGCTTT